AAACAGATGCAAAGCATACCGGTGGCACTCATCAACCATCTAGAGTACATAAAATGTGTATATAATCGACATACTTTGCGTGAGATAGATGTATTGGGTTCTAGACTTTTTTTGTTGTTTCAAAGTGAGAATTTTATTTTTCTACGGTTTGAGCCTTTCGCCAGTCATTGGTTATTGTTGACACTGCTGTAGTTGTATTCAGCATTTTTATTTGTATTATGGTTGTTTTTTGTTGTTGTTGGTAGTGTGGTGGTGAGTGCTGTTGCCAGCTATCATGGTTATTATTATAATCATTGTTAAAATGATTACTATTCTTAGTTATTTATTATTATCATTACTTATCATCATCATCATCATTATCATCACCACCACCATTGTCTTTTTTGCAGCCACCGTTGATAACACAGCTAATGAATATCATAACTGCATATGGTTGCTTTTAAGGACAAGCGGGCTAACCCAGATTTCGGGGTTTCCAGAAATCTTGACCGACACCAAAAGTGAGCATTGCCCTACGGTCAACCTATAGAAGAAGTTTGGTTTCATTGGTGTGTATATTTGTCTGGATATAGAGACAACTCTCCTTATATTTGACAGAAAGTGAACTAGGAACAAAAACTTTACCTTCGATTTTCAAAAAACAGCATTTTTTGGGATAGCCCCATTGTGCTTAAAAGCGACCATATAATATGACATAACGACACTCGGTATCGACACTGACACCGAGAAGACAGGCAACCTGGTATCGACCAGACACTGACATCGGGATATCAAGCACAGCATCGGCGTCAAGTCCAGAAGCTGTTCTAGACACTGAGCGACAGGTTCTTCAGTCTATTTTGGAGTGTACCGTAAAGGGTTGTACGCCCATCCAAAACACAGTGTGTATAATTCTTCAGAAGGTGGGACTTCTAAACCAAAATCCATCTTCTACCAAATCAGGACAACATCCTTTTCCTGAAACATAGACCAAGTTCCAGAAAGCTCAGTTCGTGTGTTGAACAAAGGAGCGAACGGGCTGCAATACAGTGCATGCAATCAATGTCAACTGAACATACGGCGTCTCCATGCATACATGTCCACACATACACACACACACACACACACACACAAACGCTCACGCACGCA